TCTAAGACTCCTTCTTAATTTAAAATTCCTTGACACTCTGGTCTTTCTACAACATGCAGACATTTTGGATCATGGACTTCTTCCAATGACCATCAATGATAATGTGCTTACAACTCTGTAAGAAAATATTTGGGAAATAATTTTGTTTGTTATATAAATTGAATGTGCTAACATTAGGTATGTCATGTGTTTATTTTAGGCTTTTGAGTTTAAGTTTAGATAAACCATAATTATAGTCACAATAGCGCTGAAATATTCAGAATTTTTTTCTGCAAGTCAGGTTTTGATAAAAAGATAGACTGTGAAGACAATTCAGATCAATGTGTTGTTCCTGAAATAGCTGTCGCTTGGAGGGAATGTCCACTAGAATGGATACAATCTGCTTTCAACTGCCTCCTCTAGTACTCTTTTTGCACAGTGATCATAAATGTTCAACATGTTTACTTCAAGTTACTGCACGATCTTAAGGCATCCAAAACACAAACTACGCTAAAGTACTACACCTATTAAGGGAGAAAAACTATGCAGTATCTTGGCAAATGTGTTTAGAGTTATATTTTTAAGAAAAGCATAAGTCAGACAATCAATCTGTAACTACAGAGGCATTACAAGAGAGTTAGAAGTTTGAACAATTACCGTGTCCTCAGAGATTTTTCTATTAACAAGAACAACAACAAAGACAGAAAAAAAGACACCCCCAGGCCTAGTTGGATAGCACAGCCTTCACAGACCCTGAGAGCTTGGTGAGCTTCCCAGATCCTCCCCTTTCCTATCCCTCCCACCATCCCACACTCATAGGCAGGGACTCCCAGCCACCTCAACTCTCCCCACCTCTCTAGGACTCAACCGGAGAATGGCTCCAAGCCTGAACACCAAGCACCAATCAGCTGGTCCACAAGCTGACAGCTTAGAGGAACAGCAAAAAGACCCAAACGTGCCCTCAACAAAGTTGAGATCAGACATCCAGACCAAGAAACAACAGCAACTGTACAACTTCTGATGACTAGGTCCCTTAGCAAAAGCAAATACATGAATAGCCACGACAGTGTGTTCCTTCCAGACATTAATACCCCTACCTTAATGTTTCTAGAAAAAAGCAACTTAGCTAATGCACAAGACAATTATTTCAAAGTAGCAATTATAAATATGTTCAAGGAATTTTTTAAAGATAGAAGACTGAATGAAGACTGTGAAAACACAGTTGATTGACATAAGTAAAACAGTATCTGAAGAAAAGCCAACCTGAAATAAAACTCAAAATGAAAAACAGAAGTCAAATGTACAGCTCAGAGGAAAGTCTTACCAATAGATTGGATCAAGCAGGAGAGAAAATATCAGGACTTAAAGACAAGACACTTCGTACTCATTAAAGGGAAAATCCATGGAGAACATTATAATTCTTAACATTTCCACACCAAACACAGGGCCTCCAACTTCATCAAAGAAACATTCAGTGGTCTGACAGGGTGGTTCATGCCTGTAAGCCTAGCACTTGGAGGAGGAGGTAAGCAGAGTCAGGCAAATCTCTGCGTGATCAAGGCCAGCCTAGTCTACATATGAGTTCCAGGTCAGCTGGTGATACTGGGAGAGCCTGTTGCAAAACAAAACAAAACAAAACAAAACAAAACAAAACAAAACAAAAAAAACCCTGAAGAAAACCTAAATAGTCAAACAAAACACCAAATCTAAAATAACATAGGAATGGACTTTTCAGAGCACTATAAAAGACCATATCTACATATCATAGGTATAGAAAGAGAAAAAACTGAGGTCAAAGTCAGAGAAAATATTTTCAACAAAATCATAGAAGGAAACTTCCCAATATAAGGAAAGAGTTACCTACTAAGGTACAAGAGACAAACAGAACAGGAGAGAGACAGCATAAAAAAAAATAAAAAATAAAACACCCAGACAACAATAACAACCGCAACCACAACAAAAATATCAGTCAGGTATGCTGATGCACGCCTTTCATCCCAGCATTCAGGAGGCAGAGGCAGACTGATCTTTGTGAGACTGAGGCCAGCCTGATCTACATAGAGAGTTCTAGGCCAGCTGGGGCTACAGGGAGACCTTGTCTCCAAAAGACAAAAAAAAAAAGAAAAGAAAAGCAGCAAAAAACCCCCCAAGTCATATGGTCAGAATATAAATGTGCAGAAGAAAGAAAAGATATTAAAAGCTACAAGAGAAAAAGATCAAGTTATGCATAAAGCAGGACCATCAGAGTTTTCAGTAGAGACTATGAAAGGTTGAAGAGCTTGGACCTATGTCCTACAAGTGATGAAAGAAAACAGATGCCAAGCCAGACTACTCTATCCAGAAAAACTACTTGAAGGAGAAAGAAAAACTTCGCATGATATAAACAAATCTAACAGCTTCATATTCACTACGGCAGCTTTACAGAGGATATTTAGAACTACTTCAGCCTGAAGACAAGATTAAATATACCCAACTAAGCACAAGGGATAAAGAATTTCAGAATGGTGAACCAGAAGAAGTCTAAGAAAAAAGCACTGCAACAATAAAATAACAATTATTAGTAAACGTTGGTCAATAATAACTCTCAGTCTTAATGGTGTCAATTCCCAATAAAAAGACACCGACTAACAGATTGGATTAGAAAATAGGATGGATCCATCTTTTTGCTGCCTCTAAGAACTACACTTCACTATCAGAGATTGATAGACCCTAGGGTAAAAGTATTCTAATCAAATGGAACCAAGAAGCAGATACAGCCCTTATAATAGCTGACAAAATACACTTCAAACCAGCTAATCAGAAGAGATAGGAATGACACTTTATTAAAGGGAAAATCCACAGGGAGAATATGGCAGTTCTAGAATTGACAAACCACAGATTCACCCAACATAGTGATACTGCATGAATTCAGTACCCCACTCTCGCTAGCAGATGGGTTGTCCAGACAAAAACTAAACAGAGTAACTCTCAAATCAACATCATAACCAGGTGGAACTAACAGATATCTATAGAACACTCCACCCAAACACTAAAGAATATACTTTCTTCTCAGCAGTCCATGGAACATTCTCAAAATAGAACACATATTGGGTCAAAATGCAAATCTCACCAAATATAAAATAACCAAAATAACATTTTGCGTTCTATCTGATCACAAAGGAATAAAGCTGGATATCAACAGCAACAGAAACTAGAATACACAAATCTAAAGCACACAAACTCATGGAAATAAAACAAAACATTATTAAATGAAAACTGCATCAAGGGAGAAATCAAAATGGAAAAGCAAAATTCCTGTAACTGAATGAAATGAAAACACAAATCTATGAGACACGTTGAAGGCAGTGCAAAAGAGGAACGTTTACACCACTCAGTGCACGCCCACAATCTGAGACATTCCAAATTAATAATGTAACGATGCACCGGAAACCTTGGGAAAACAGTAACTAAAACATCCAAAAAGAGGCAATGGAAAAAGATAACCAAGATCAAGGCTGAAACCAGAATCAGTGAAATGACAAGTTGGCTCTTTGAAAACATAAATGGGACTGACAAAATTTTAGTCAAATTACAATAAAGAGAGAGAGAGAGAGAACCCAGATTAATAAAATCAGAGACAAAAGGGAAATGTTATTACAGATACTGAGGAAATTCAGGGAATCCTAAGGACATACTTTAAAAATGTATGCTCCACTAAACTACAAAATCTAAAATATATGAACTAATTTCTAGATATGTATGACCTACCAAAATTAAATCAAGATTTAAGTAGACCTATAACATACAATGAGATACAACAGTAATTAAACATCTCCCAGCTAAAAAAGCCCACTATCTGATGCATAGAGTGCAGAATTATAAAAGATCTTCAAAGAAGAACACTAATACTCCTCAATTTTTTTTCTGTAAAATAGAAAAGAAGGGAACACTTCCAAATTTTTTATGAAATCAGTATTAGCCCAATACCCAAACAAACCAGAAGATCCACCAAAAAATAGTTACAAGGCAATCCTTGTGATAAACATAGATACAAAAATTATCAATAAAAGACTTTCAAATCAAATACAAGAGCACATTAAAAATACTATCAACCCTGATCAAGTTGGCTTCACTCTAGAGATGCAGGGATTGTTCAAAATACATAAATCAATAAATGTAACCCACCACGTACAGAAATTCAAGGCTAGAAACCACATGATCATTTCAGTAGATACAGAAAATACCTAACATCTCTTCATAGTAAAGTCATGAAGAACACAGGGATAAATAGACATATTTCAACATTATAAAGGAAATGTACAACATGCCCACAGCCAGTATCATACTAGACAGATAAAGCTCAAAGCATATCTACTAAAAGCAGAAAAAACACAAATATGTCCAATGTAGTGCTTGAAACTTTAGCTAGAACAATAAGACAAGTAAAGGAGATAAAGGAGAAACAAATAATTAAGATATCAAAGTATCCTTACTTTGAAAATGATATGATTCTATACATAAAGGTCCCCCAAAACTCCACCAGAAAACTCTGAGAGCTGGTGAACATTCAGCAAAATAGCAGGATACAAAATTACCATTAAAAATCAGTAGCCTTCCTGTATATCAACAGAAAACATAATGAAAAAGAAACCAGGGGACAAAGTCCCATTCACAATACCCTCCAAAATGATTGGAATAAAACTAACCAAGGACATGATAAACTAGTGTTGCTGGGTATGGTGGCACATGCCTTTAATCCCAGCACTTGGGAGGCAGAGGCAGGCGGATCTCTATGAGTTCAAGGCCAGCCTGATCTACATAGTGATTTCCAGGACAGCTGGGGCTACAGGAAGACCCTGTCTCACTCCCATTATCATGGGATCAATATTATGAAAATGCCCATCATACCAAAAGCAATCTGCAGACTCAGTGAAGACCCATTAAAGTTCTATTGCAATTCTTCACAGAAATTGAAAAATAATCTTAAATTTTATATGGAAACACCCCCCCCCACACCTCCTCTCCCCACACCCCACACATACCACACACCAGCTTGAAGTAATGAGTCTTTCCACATCCAGGCACAGAGGTGGTAGCACTGGATTCCAAAAATGTGGATTCCAGCTCTCTGTGGATAGGCATTGAACCAGCAGGTACCCTAGTGCTATCATCTAGTACAACGGGGGAGATTTCCCTTCTGATGGACTAGTTAAGAGGTCTCATTGGGAATACTCCTGCATGCTCAGTCTGAAGCCCATTCTACTAACCTTAGCACAATGCTGTGAGCTTCCAAATCCAGGTTAAATCCCTTTTACTTTAACTTAGCTGGACTGATGCCCATTTCTAGCAGTAAATATTTGCTGACTGAAAAATCCTTGCACACTAGTATTTAGACTACAGGAGTACAGAGAGAAAAATAAGTAGCGAACATAGGAATAACAATAAGGGCTTTGGTGCCCTAGATACAATGATGCTGCACCTTGACTGATGGCTATGTGTACAAATTACATACATAATGGAAATCTGGATTTTGTACCAATCTGCGTTTCTTAGTTCACAGAAGTGCTTGCAAGGCACTGCTTTTAAAGGCTTTGTCTTACTAACTACAATTGAAAGATATTCTTAATTTTCTAGACTTCAGAGCATGAAATGACCTCCCCCCAAAAGGCGTTTCAGCTGTGATAGCCCTAGATCTACACAGTGAATCACACATGATCTAAATATATTCCAGATATTTTGTGGATAATGTATGAGCCAGCAAAAACCAGAAAATAGAAGCTTAAAAATAAAAACTCGTCTGAGCCCGCCCTCTTGTGCCAAAGTATTATAGAGATTATAGTTTGGTTTTGTGGCTTTAAGGCCTAAATCATAAAAGTCAGGATTAGGAGACAGTGCCCAAGGGAATCTCGGAATGCTGCTCACATGGACAGAAGCCTCAGTCATGCTGGGAAAGCCCAGGGTGGTGTTTCCATCACTCTTTTCCTGGACTGTCGTAGGATTTTCTTGTTCCCTGAGGTTAACCACACCGAAGCAACCCGGCATTGTGCAGGGTTTTCCTCTCTTGATCATAGAAAGCATATGCCTTTGGACCTCTTTTCCCTAAGGTAAAAGGTGATAAGCCTTTCTTCTTCCCCAGCCACCTGATGTTTGTGTAAAGTCAGAGAGGACAGCATCTCACCTATCTGTTTCTAAGGGCCAGCCCTGATCTACATCTAAACCTTTGATCACATACAGATCAAATTAGTTCATTCCAGGACAGAGCTGAGAGACACCCCGTCTCTACCCTTCCTTTCCCTTGAGAATGGACAGCTAACATAGGTACAGAAAATAATTTCCTTCGGGAATTAGAGAATCAAGCACTTTTCCTGTTTGTTTTTTCTGAAGCACGTTTCTGGCCTTTGTCACTAGTGGATGTGTACTCACTCTCACTGTATTCCTTCACCCGTTTGCAGACTAAACGTGGTGCTCAGGAATTATGGCAGATAACAGCAGTTGCTAACCCCATGAACTTGGGAATAGGAATCCTGCCATTCTAGACTCTCCCTCCCAGGGGGTTTCCAGTTTCAAGTGAGCAGACAAGTGAGAGACCAGATGAGGGCGAAGCCACCATATCTTTTCTGAAATTAATTTTAGGGTAGATTTTATAGACCATAAAAGGTTTACACTCATAGAAGCCAGAAGACACTCCATGGATGGCGGTTCACAGTGTGCGGCAGGTATCTTTACTGGCTGATTCTTGCCACAGCAGCGCACTGCTCTGCCTACTCAATGGATTTCTTTCTCAGCTTCTCACTCTTTCTACCTTACTCAAATCACTGTGTCACTAAGTTCATGTTGAAATCTTGAGTACTGCAGTGAAAACCAGATCAAGCCCTGGACTGGCCCCTCACCAGCAGAGAGTAGGGAAAGGTTCAGTTCTACAACAAACTTCCCTGACCAGAACTCTCAGAAAGTCATTCTTTCACTATGATGTGATCTGTTTGTTTGCTTAGTTGAAGCTCGGTGTGGTGGTGTGTGCCTTGTACCAGCCACTTGGGAGCCTCAGGCAGGAAGATCTCTTCAGTCCATAACTTCAAAGCCATCCTGGACAATACATTAAGATCTTTGTTTCCTAAAAATGGATAGACTATTGTATTCCATTTGAGCTGATATAACAATACCACAGACTTGACAACTAATAAACAGCAGAAATTTATTTCTTGTAGCCTAGGAGGCTGGGAAGTCTATGATGATGGCACCAGTAGCTTCGATATTGGGGAAGACTGCTTTCCCTGCTTCAAGCTGGTGCCTGGTTGTCACACCCTCACATAGAGAAAGAAGGAGGCTGGAGGCAGTGTGAAGATGCTTTCATAAAGATCTCCATCCCTCATGATTTTACCTCCTTCTAAAGGTTCCATCTCACAATACTAATGTATCAGAGATTATTTCCATTTGAATTGGGGGGAAAAAAAAAACCCTTTAAGGCAGAGCCTGTCACACAGTAGATGCTCTGAGTTACCATGTACACCTGAGGCTGAAACTGAAGGAGGCTGCAGCTCTTCACTGAGGCTTAGGAGAGCATGTGGGTGTGAGGGTGCCTAAGACTGAGGCCAAGGGATACAGAGATGGTGGGTGTGCAGAATGGGGTGTGGACTGGGGCTTTTGTAAAGAGAAAACAAGTTTCAAGTGAAATTTAGATTGGCTCCTGGGGTTCAACAGTTTCATGTTTTGTCTTCTGATAACCATAGAAAGATTCTTCAGTGTTATGGGATAACTCACTCGATTTTTATTTATTTTGCTTTTGTAGTGCTGGGGAATGAGTCTCGGTTCTTACTCATGCTGGGCCAGCCCTCTGCGCCTCAAGTCATGTCCTCAGTTCTCTTTAGTTTAGTTTAGTTTTTTGTTTCTTAGGGTTTTTTTTTGGGGGGGGTGTTGAGAGAAGGTCTTGCTACGTTTCCCAAGCTGTCCTTGAACTCGTAGTATAGCCCCAGCAGGACTTGAACTTGTGATCTACCTACGTTAGCCTCCCAAGCAGCTAGAGTTATAGGCCTGGGCCGAGACTTTGGCTTAATCTCTCTAGAAATGTGAGGGACATTCTTTGCATGCTCCCCACTGCTCACTGATGATCGACTACAGTAAGTCTATGAAGGTGAAAGGGGAAAAGACGTTGAATGGCAGTCTTTTAAAAATGTATTTATGGTAGAAAATTTGTTTTTAGGTTAAATTTTTTAGATTTCTTATGGTATTTGCTCTAATAAACTTATTGCAGAAGACTAATTGTAAGTATTTCTTGTTCAGTGATTTGTGGCTTTCCCTACTGCTTTTCTTTTCTTTCTATAATGGATTTTCAAAAAGCTATTCACAGAGCTAATCATACTGAAAGTGAGAAAGGTAATGCTGACTTGCGTAGGGAGTCTGGGAATTCTTTGAGCTGAAATATAAGTATCAGGAAATCCAAGATATTACCACTGCAAGGGAGAAATATTTCATGTTTGTTAAATTAAGAAATGGCATTTGACATTGAGTTCTCCCTTCTTAATTCACAAGCTGCTAACTTGACTCAAGTATGTACTAAGAGGGTTTTATTTGGTTCAAAATGGGCTCTTAACAAAGTACAAATGTCCACATAGTACATGCCACTCATAATTATAAAATATAAATGACAGTGGTAAATTGGTCCAATTTTCCATCCTAGATGCTACATGTGATATTATATTAAATAAAGACAAAATGTATTGAAGGTATTGGAAATACAAAACGTATATTCATCAAATGTGCTTTCCATGTTGCGTCTTTGTTTTTTACTGTAGGTTTTTATGATACTAAATGTAGCCAATTTTGTACATATCCCAAGTGATCAGAGTGTGACCTTTTCTGAACTTAAAGGACTTCAGGGATTTATGAAATAAAAAACTGTAGCTTTAGCAAAAACATCTTCCCTCAGTCTAGCTCCTTTGTCATGAGGTTATTTAATGTGCACATGCGCTGGCTTGAATCACACACCAAGACTGACAGGCAGTCCTTTGCTCTTTGGAGAAAAATGTGACAGATACTTTTATCCCCCTTTTGGAAAAGAGTTTGTCCACTTATCATGCTTGCCTAGTATCCTGACCCTACTTGCCTAGTTTCAACAATTTTCTGTTTTTGTGGTGTTAACACATCCTGTCTACACAGGAGCAAGCATTACCAGAATTAACAGGCGGTGGGTTTGTTACTAGAACCCCATGTCTTGGTCTATTGTATGTGTTAAAATAGAAATGGGGAAGAATTTCATTAACTGAGTTTCTTTGTTGCTGTGGTAATATTCTTGAAAGAAGCTATTTAAGGAGGACAGGATTCATATTGGCTTGAGGGTAGATTCCGTTATGCTGGGAAAGGCAAAGCAGTAGGAATCGCTGTGGCTGTGGACGGGGGAGTGTGCTGAGACGTGCCCACATCTCAATGGACCACAGAGAAGAGGGGATGCGTGCTGATGCTAGGCTTACTTTCTTTCTTCTCTCTTGTATTCCGTACAAGTCCCCAGCTTATGGGATGGGTCTTTACCCTCAGTTGGTGTTCTCTGAAATACCATCTCAGGCCCACTCAGAAAGAGGCCTTAGTCTCCTAGTGACTCTAAATCCAGTCCAGTTGATAAGAAATGTTAACCATCACCCTTGCCTAGCTCACTGTACCCCGTCCTTCTCCAGAAAGCTCTTAGTTTGAGGGAAAGAGTAGAAGGAGAGTGAACACAGGAGACAGAATGGACTGGCGTACTATTTTTCATCATTTCTTTTCACCTGGAAAAATCTGAATCAAACACATCAGCTTTAGAATTATCACCACATCCTCCCTTTTCTGAGACGTCTAAAGTCCTAATAATCATCTGCCACATGTCGTTCATTGTAGCTAAAGCTTACCTTCAGAAAGTCTATTTTCCTCTATGACATGTTGCTCATTCCACAGATCTTCTGCAGGATCTCAGTTTGCAATTCTGAGTGTGGAGGAGAACTCCTGGGAACATCCAATCCATCTTCCCTTCTTACATGCTGCAAGAAAGTTTTAGGAGTTCAGGTAACTAGGCTGAACTGATTCCTACCAACAAAGACAGAGGCAGTTCTTGAATCCTCTGCAGTCCTTTCCCTCCCACCCTGCCTTGAGTTCCCTAATTGTCCCTCCTCTCCAATGTAGTGTTTCTCGAGAGCGGTCTTCCAGAGTGAGAACCATGGTCATGAATTCGAATAGATTCAATGCCAGCTTTGTGGGAGACTCCAGACCTTTAGAGACTTTAC